GTTATTATTGTTATTATAGACACTTGATACTGAATTTATGTTTTGTTTGTGTATAGTTTCTTGACGGTTGGGTCATATTTGCTGAATACGCAAGACCCAGACAACCACCTTCACCGCCTGAGAACAATATGTCTCCACCATATAGCCGTTATTAAATTCTGCATCCAAGGCAAGAAAGCTTGTCAATTTAATAATATTTGTCAGCAAGTGGAATTCGGTGATTATACTTCATCATTCTTCGGTTAGAGGTTGGGTTGGTCTTCATTGCCTGGGATTTTCAAAATGAGGTGGGGATTATCCTAATTTGACAATCAAGCAAGATTGGAAATCATATGTATTAGAAATCTTCTGTGTTTATGACAATAGTGTGTAAGACTGTTTGCTTTTGTTAAGATGTTGAGAAACTTGTACTGATAATATATTCGAGACCTCATTTTCAACTTGAATTGTGGTTGATTGTGCTTAGGGTTAGTCTGTTTCTATGTTTTCCTTTGAGCAAATTAATAGCTAAGGTTCGCCGCATGCTTTGTATTTTCAATTTGTGAAGGGTTTGTTTTTTTTAGGTTCTCACTTGCTTTGTATGTTAAATGTAACAAGCACCACACATTATGAGGCCTTTCTAAGAGGTCGAATGACTTTGTCATAATTTGTAAAATTAGGTTTACGAAGAGCACTTTAGCAAAGTATGTAGGTTAAAGTCTTTGTCTGAGAGTTGTTAAGGCGAGCAAGTTGCTCGTTTTGGATTTGCACCGGCCTGTGGCCGGCATCCTTGATTGTTATAGGGATAAGTAGGGTTTTACTTTTCTGAGGGTATGTGGCTCAAGGTTTAGCTTTGCAATATGTGATCAGCCCTTCTGTTCGTTGAGTTATGGTTATCCTTAGGGGCTGTTGTTTAGTGGTTGGCATTAGGCCTAAGTTGGTACTTACTCAATTAAGTGGACATGGTCATCCTAATCATCTTTTCTCCAGTCATGTCGGCCTCCTTGGTGTGGGCAGTTTTGTCTTGTCAGGATCGTCCTCATCCGGATTATATTGGTCGATTCGAACTACCCAAATCAATTCTAGACTTTTTCATTTTCTAGTTTTGGCAAGGAGTGATTTTTGCAGCTCAGGGTTTATAGGGTAATTGCAATGAAGTTATCAAAATCTTGTTCCTGTAGCCTTTGCCTTTCATGGAGCTTCGTATATATGTGATCTGTCACTTGAGTTTTGTTTTCTAGGCATATGCTAGATGAAGATGAACTTAGCACAATAAAACAATCCAGATTCTGATAGCCTCTCTTGCCATTAATGACACTAGAAACAGGTGGCCTCATTGTGCCAGTGGCATGTTCGCATAATATTCTGACATGGGCCAATGGGCCAATGGGCATTGAGCAACGCCTTCTTATCGAAGCAATCCAAGAAAATTTATGACACTGAAAGTAACCAGACTTGGGATATTTTCAAAGTTAAAGCGCCTTGTCATGCAATTAGGACAACACAAATCGTTTTAGTTAGATGGACATTTGTTGGGGGAATTAGAAGCTGACAGTGTTTGATGCGTCTTCGTTTCTCAGCAGCTATACCACCAAGCAATATTTCACTTCTTTGGACAGCTGGTTGTCCAATTCAGTGACACATATAGTTTCTTGAATTGTTCCTTTCTTTCTTTCTTTCTAGAGTGAGAACTAAGCGGAAAGAATTTTCTAGTTGAAGGTTTGAATTAATGAATGAAATCGAGAGCCACCAATATGGCTCTGAGAAGATATATTATATGTTGTGCTAGAATTAGAAGTGCATGTGGTGGAAATAGATTTGCATTTCTGGGAAAGGTGCATGCTATTGAACATCCTTTTATGTGGTGCATCCTCAATTGATATGAGTGTCACGTATTGAACTAGATAGTCAGCATTTGTGAACGATTGTGTTTAGCAAAGCTCAAGATTTAAGGTTTGTTTAGACTTTTGTAGAAAGCACTTATGCTAGAAGCATTTCAAGTGGTTTATGAAGAACACTTTGAAGTGTCACTTGAATAATTTAAGCACGTACTTGACGTTTATCTAGAAAGCACTAAAAATGGTTTTTATAATTTAAAAGCACTTTTCCTTACTTTTATTAAGGAAACACATTTTTAGTCATTTCAAAATCACTAACAAAACTTGATACATCAATGTGGCCTTCACAGAAACAAATGACTTATCAAAGAGTGTCCAGACAATTTCTGGACAGGCAGTTTGGCCATTTCCATATAGAACATGTTCTTATGTGGCACACGTTTTATTGATCGAGTCAGTTTGTTATTAATATATACATGATGTTTTGTAGATTTGTTTGTTTGTTTGTTTGTGGTATGGATATGGACCAAAAGCTGTCCAGCAAGTCTTTCTTTTCTTTATCCCTGTAGGCAAGCACTAATCCTAGTTACTTTTTGTCATGAGGTAATCTGATGTCAAAGATTATGACCCATCTATTTAATTAGGAAATCAGATTTCATTATGCGATTTAAAGGGGTTTTCAGATAGTCTTTTTGCATTTGGGTATGTTGGTAGGTGAGCTTCTTGGATATCAATTCATTCACAGTCCCTCCATAATTGTTGGACACTTCACCATTACACGTTTAATTTCTTGTTGAAATGGATCTATCGGCTTGATGCAGCCAGGCAGCCCATATTTGTTCCCTCTCTCCCTTTCCTCTAGGGCACGTTTAGTGCTATTTTCTTCAATATATATCTATATAAATATGTTTTTGGATTTCTTTTTCTCTCAAAAAAAGAAAAAGAAAAAAAGAAATCCAAGTATTTTCTGTATGGTCACCTGCTAATACTGCCTGAAGTAACACTAAAAGATTTTGTCAAACTCAAATCACTTTTGCCTAATTTAAAATGTTACTTCAATAAGGTCTAATTCTGTGAAAAAAAGTCTTAACTTGCATATGACACCTTGACAGTGTATGTAAGAAAACCATCATCCTTCTTATAATTTAAACTCTCATTTTTATTTGTTTGTCATCGTAAATTAGTACGCAAAGTTTCACCAAAAGAAAAAGTCATACTTTTGAGGTTTGTTTTTTATATAGACACGGATGAGTTGAAAAATGTCTATGAAGGAAAGAAATTAAGTCATTCAATTAAAAATTGATTAATTAGCTCATAACTTGACTACCTACCAGGACCACCAATCACATCAAAGCAGATTAAATATCAACCTAACTAAGTGACACATATTTTGAATCATAAAAAATTTCACCCTTCAAAATCAAGTGCAAACTAAAAATATACAAATTTATTCAATTGATTAGATGCTATATATGATGAAACCATATTGTCATAACAAATATTCCAATATATAGTGTGGTTTGTAAATGATTGTACGTATCTAGACGAGTTTTTTGTATTTAAATTTTCAACGAATCTCATTACCTAAAAACATAAGATAAGAAATCAAAAGCTAGTCGGTCCAGAATTATTTTACAATCCAAAGTTACTGCTCTCTAACTGGTAGCAGCTTGAGTGACATTGCCACATTTTTTTAACTTAGAACAACCTGCAGAAACAAAATCTCCATTGTCTTTGAATTATATATATCGCATATTAAATTGTACCAATACCATTTTTATGATTTATTTAGTTCCCACTTTACACTGGGTTGCGTGGTCTCCATATGAACACCAATTCAAGTAATTGCAAATCGAAGTAAAAAAAAGGACATGGTGTCAATTATGCGTAATTCTTTATTATTTCTTATAAAAGCCATTTGCTTTGCGTTATTTAATTAATAATATACATAGCTTTTAAAATGGAAAATCTCCCACATTTTATTATGTTAAAGTTGTGACGTGGTTAGGGTCGGCTATGAGGGGAACTCATTGAGGCGCCAACTTGATCCCCAATTTTTCTATAGTTTTGCACCTAAAAATGTAAGAATTATGTCAATGGGTTACAACTCAATTGGTTGAGCTTTTTCACCTCCATCCATGTTGGCAAAAGTTCGAAACTCAAGAGACGCAATGAATATTTTTGTAACCCCCCTCCCCTAATCAATTGTACCAAAAAAAAAAGGAAAATATTATGCTTACCACATCAACTATATGCCACATTTTTAATACCATCGAAGGTGCTAAGGTGGACATCCAACTCATTAAAATTAGATTAGATTAGATTATAATTTTTTTTAGTACAAGCGATTAGGAAAGCAATATGTTTTTTTAGTAAAAATTAGATTATATCAGTTTGTCAAACACATCCAACCTTTAAAAAAAAAAACTTTATTTTATAATTATAAATTAAAATAAGAATTTATATGGATCGCAATCATTTAGCTCAATACGTCCTCTTTCCACAATCTTTTATAAAAAACAAATCCTGTGGCCCCAACTATTTTCTTCAAATTTTATTTTCCCACCAGGGTTTTATTTTATGAATTAAATAAACTAATCCCAATTAAAATGGCTAATCTTTCGCACTTGATCCAAAGTTAACCCAACACATTATAAAAACCCCCGCGCTCTCCCACCAAAACCAGAGGAGAGAGTCAGGAAACAAAGTCCACTCCTCAACCTCATCTCTCCACCCTCTCAAACAGAAACACCCTCAACCAAAATGAAACTCCGGCTGTGGCACAAACTGTAAATAACCCCAGTTCCAAGCCCCTTCTCTTTTGCACAATTCCCTAGTTAAAGCACACATCTTCGTAGATAACCGCGACATGAAGTTCTTGTTGGAGTTCGTGTCTTGCTGCGGGATTGCACGCCCCGCAACAACAGGCGAGCAGGCTCCTCTCTCCGAGGAGACCAGCTCGCTTGTGCCCCGCCGAATGCACCGGCGCAGGAAGCGGGGAAGGCCCGGGAACTCGGGCTCCACGTCGCCAAATTCGGTAGAGTGGAGGCCGTCGCTCACCTCGATTTCTGAGGACAACGTTGTTGCGGTGGTGGGGGGTCGGGTGGGCGGGGTGTGGCGGGCCGT